AGCAGAATCGGAATTTTTTAAAAGGGTGTTCGTCGGTTCTGTGGTCCAAGGAAGAAGAAGGGGTTTTTACTGCGAACAACTTTAATAAAATATTGTTGGGCCCAGATTTTAAGTAAAACGCAGTATAGTACTGCGAATACTGTGTTTTACTCATTTATGTAACTTTTTTTAAGTAATAAAAAAGTGTTTTTTGTCCAAAAAATCATCCCACCCCCACGTGGCAGCTTTTGGCTTAGGAAAATATGACTCATACATTGTTAATATATGTGACAAGAAGATGGATACAAAATCTGTACAACAGAAGAAATGGACATGATCATTTTCTATATACATGTGATTAGCCTAAGCTTCGCCTCATCACAAGGTTCAAGAGTGTTTCATGACTATTGTGTGCTCTGACTTTGAGTCTCCTCTATTTCTTTGAGTATGTCCCCATCCTCAACTTATATTTTTACTCCCTCATATTACTGTCTTCTCAAATCATTGGAGTATTAGTGCAATTTGAACGCCTTCTTTAGGATCTAAGGAAAGAGATCTTTTGCTTCATGCGACAGTGTAAAATATGTTTGTATTCATCTGAATCTCGATAATATGGAGAAAAGGAGCAAAAAGACCCTAAGTTGATATTGTGATCCCTGTTATTGGTATATATTTAAATGAGCTTTTCTTCCTTTCTTTTCCCGGCTTTGCTTAAACAAACAATATTACACAAAACTAAGTAGCATCATAGTCTTTTACAACTCGTGACTCTTAAGACTGAAGAATCCTTAGTGACCTGATCATCAACAAAATTTGAAGGGTTTTACAACATACTAAACCCTCCTGGTCACTACAATAACAAAATTTGAACATTTGTTCCTAACAATAGTAGTAGCAGTAGATCAGCTGCATCCAATACAAGAAGTAGTTACAGTGGTGGTAGTAGTAGTGGAGTTGTTTGCCAAAGCATCAGCTAGTTAGTTTTCTTCGCTACTTTGATCCAGCGTTACGTGTTCTTCGCAAAAAGACGTGTGCTAGAGGGATTGTCAAGAAAAATTGGTCCAGGTATGTTAAGGCTAAACTTTTCCTTCCTTTTAGCATGATATCGTAATTACACAAGTCTGATAACGAGGCATAAAGAAAAATTTGTATCCCGAAATTTACGTGTATTTTGCTAGTCTCACAAATTACATATATTTTCCTAGTTTTGTAAGTTACCATATTCTTCTTATTGGGACTTCATATTCAATTGTGTATTTCCCTCTTCCAGCCAAGAGAACAAAGAGTTTATATATATAGTATTAAAAGTATTTTCATTGTCATCGAGCTATAATCGATGAGCAGGCCCCTATTGGGTAACCTCTGAACAGATGGTAAGTTATATACCGAGCCTACTGTGGCCGAGCGCTTATGAGCGAGCCCAGTTGGTCGAGATACAGAGCCTAGTATGGTCGAGCGCCTATGAGCGAGCCTACTACGGCAGAGCAGTTATATATATACCAAGCCTACTATGGTCGAGCGCTTATGAGCGAGCCCAGTTGGTCGAGATACAGAGCTTAGTATGGCTGAGCGCCTATGAGCGATCCTACTAAGGTAGAACCGTTATATATATATACCAAACCTTATAGGGCCGGACAGTTATTTTACTTACTATTTTGAGAGAGTTGAGTCAGTATCAACAGGTAAGTATATCTTCAGATTATCTTTGACTTCTAGCTACTTGCAGTTATTATATTATCAGTTCAGTTTCAGCTTTCAGTATATTGCCTTACATACTCAGTATATTATTTCGTACTAACGTCCTTTTATTTGGGACGCTGTGTTTCATGACCGCAGGTATAGACAATCAGTTTGACGATCCCTCATAGTACACGAGATTGGCATTCAGCAAAGGATCGGTAAGACTCCACGTCATTCGGAGTGCAACCGAGTCTGTGAGTCATCATGTCAGAGTTTTCCCACATACTTATGGGTCAGTCGGTACCCTGATCCATTTGATGTCAAATACTTTTAGAGGCTCTGTAGACACACTGAGGTTCAGTTTGTACAGTATGTTAGAGGCCTTGACACCCCATATGTATTGATATCTTAAGAACGATAGCTTATTGATACATTGTTGCCCACTTACAGTTATGCACTACGAGTGGTTGCCATGTTGGCCCACGATGGTCACAGAAAGAATGAGTTACAGAATGGTTCGCTCGGTCCAGTACGGCACCGCGTGCCAGCCACGCCTCTCTAGGTTTGGGGCGTGATACTGGGACAATCTCTCAGCATGTGGCTAGTATCGCCACACTCAAAGAAACCACTCTGCTAACATGGCTGTGGAAACTGTGCGGCATGGGTACTCTGAGACCCATGAGCACCTGGAACACCGTGCGAAGCCTAAAGTGAAAACTCGCTTGGCTGGACCACAAAACCTCTACCATACTGCACCATGCCTCCGAAATAAGGACCAGCATATCTCTCCAGTCTACGGGGCCTTCTATCCCCCCCCCCCCCCCCCAAACTCTATCTCATGACCTTGTCTGCCCTCTCTCTCCTGGCCTCACCTGTCCTCTCTCTCCTGATCCCACATTCCCTCAATCCGGCGAGCGATCCCTACCACCTGCTGAAATGAGACATCCGACTCCAACTCCGGAGCCATGCTGAACCGAATATCATGACTGAGCCCCTCAATGAACCTATGGACTCGCTCCCTAACTATAGAAACCAAGGTAGGTGCATGCCTAGGCAAATCACTGAATCTAATAACATACGCTAATACTGACATAGTGCCCTGGTGCAGCTGCTCAAACTCTGCATGCCATGCATCTCGAAGGGACTGAGGTACAAACTCTCCCAAGAACATCTCTGAAAACTGAACTCATGTTAGTGAAGCTAAATCGGATGTGCTACCCAACTCATACACCCTCCACCACTGATAGGCAGCTCCCTTAAGTTGGAATGTGGTAAAAGCAACCCCACTCGTCTACATAATTCCCACAGTGTGGAGAATGCAATGGCACTCCTCCAGAAAACCCTGGGCACCCTCTAAAGCCAAACCACTGAATGTAGGAGGGTAATATTTCTTGAACCTTCCAAGTCTAAGTTGCTCTTCCTCAAATGTTGTTGCCCTAACCATGGCTGAACTGGAATCACAGGTTGTGTCGCCATGAAACCTAGATCCTGATCAACATGAACTCGTTGCTCTAGAGTGTGGGCGGTGGGAGTTTGAGCTCCTCCCCTGGCCTGTGAAGTAGCTGGTGCAACCAGAATCAACTCCGCCTGAGCCAATGTACCAAACATACTGAGGAACTATGCTAAGGTATTCTGAAGTACGGGTGTAATAGAAGGTGCCTCTGGTACCTGCCCCCCAACTGGAACTACTAGCAGCTCCTCAACTGCTGCTCTGCTAGGCGCCTTAAATGCGGTATGTGCTCTTCGTCAGCCTCTTCCTCTGCCCCTAGCGACATCTGCTCTGGGGGTAACGTCATCAGGAACTACAGGTCGTGTCCTCACCATCTGTGAGAGAATGGAATGATAAAATTTCAAACTTCGAGATCAATGAACCCACACGATAGTAATGAAGGAAGTGGCATTGTCCTAATGGTTTTGTAGCCTCTCGAAGATAAGTACAGACGTCTCTGCACCAATCCGCAAGACTCTACTAAACTCGCTTATGACTCGTAGCATCTATGAACCTAGAACTCTGATACCAAGTTGTCACGACCCAAATTTCCCTCTGTTGGGTGTCGTGATGGCACCTTGTCTTAGGGACTAGGTAAGTCTAACATTTACTGAATAACAACAATAATACATAACATCTAGCAGTTTTTGAAATAAAAATTTCTACAAAATTTACAATTCCCAAAAATCAGTAGTACAAGTCATAAGCTCTACAGAGTTTGCTAAAACTGTCTCGAAATAAGGATGAACAGTGTAAAATCAAAATAAGAAGGTGACTCTGAAGTCTGCGAACACAATAGCATGTTTACCTTGAGTGTCCACAACAATGATCCGCACAGCTACTAATGATCAAATATCTGGATCTCCACAAACATGTGCAGAAGTGTAGTATGAATACACCACAGCGGTACCCAGTAAGTATCAAGACAAACCTTAGTGGAGTATTGACAAGGAACAGTCAAGACACCTACTTGACTAATCATTCTAAACAAGTATAAGTATGGGAACAACAGAGTATTGTATCTACATTAAGACTGCGTGATATAGCTAACAATACAGTAATTGCAATAAGAAAGAAAACAACAAGTATCAGTAGAATACCATAATAATGACATAGAAGAGCGAATGGGAAACACAGTCTAAATCTGAAATCACAGATACAGTAAGGACAAGTAATAACTCAGCAATTACGGCCACTTTCACATCAATTTATAGTTAGCAAACTTCACGAGGTACCGAACCTCGCACAAATCACAACTCACGGGTTTCAATAGCTTAACCCTAACACTTGACATCCTGTGCCCTCATTACACCTCATAAACTCATTGATGACTCATGTTCCAAATAGAGCCATTCTCACATAGAAAGCAAGTAAACAAAGTTGTACGTCTATACTCAACAATATCAAGAAAACCTCTTATCCGATAAGAGTGCATAATTACGTGTATGCTTGTGCAAGTGTCCTAACAAAGTTCATACCGGCTAGAAAGCATAAGGAAAAGAACGGATATCAGGTAAAATGTTTTCTCACAACTTTCACAAGACAAATCTCACACAAGTAAGTGTACCACTACACAAATTTTAACCACAGAAATGCCCCAGGCCATCACAAATCATCATAAATGAATCCCTGACATAGCCAAAATTGTCTTGCCACGTGTGCAATAATAAGTAAATGCCAACCATGNGTGTGTGTGTGTGCATATGTGTGTGTGTGTATGTATCCCGCCTTTTCACTCCGCATGTGCAAATATCAACAGTAACAATAGCACGATAGAAACCTTGTGCATCACAGTAACAACCGCACGGCAGAAACCTCGTATCTCACAGCAACAAGTACAACAGAAAAAATGACAATAAATACGATAGTGCGGCAAGTAAATCAACTCAAAGACTTTAAATCATAAGGGAATGGTATAACTAGTTCACAAGGAATAACCACAGTAGAGGAATGCTAGGCGTAATAGGAACAGCTCAATAAGGGAGGAAAAAAATGTAACAACATTCCCCCAATATGCAGTTCAACAACAAGGGAGCTAACGCGAGTCAAATAATTCTAAATAAGGACCTGTCAACTAAGATATAGGATATCTAAACTTCTTTTAAAATTGGGCATTTATAAAGAAGATACAACAAGTTCAAATAAGGATAAGCAGCGGAAAGATAATCATAACCTCAATTAAGTCTAAACGATTACAGGATGAGGTAGTAATAATATCAAATAAAGATAAGCAGTTATGAAAAGATAGCATCACAATAGATGAGGTAAAAATCTTCAGTTAAGTCAAAATAAGAGTCAAATAGGCAATAAGAGTGAATCATAAAATAATTAATTCCAAATAAGGCATGTACAAGTGAAACTAGTAAATAGGAAACTCAATCATGTCAAGAACAACTTCGTACTCATTGAATAAAAGGACCTAAGAACTCTAAAAAGCCAACTTTCCACAAATAAGTCCGAGCACGCACTCATCACCTCGCGTACACAGACTACAATTAGCATAGAAGACTCAAATCCTAAGGGTTAGTTCCCCACACACGGTCATGCAAGATACTTACATCAGAGAAGAAAAATCGATACTCAAAATTGAACTTCTCAGGTGAGATGACCTCCTGACGGCCCAAATATAATCAAAATAACTTCAAAGCACAAATAAAACTCATAAGAAACTATTCTGGATCATAAAGCCTTGATCTTTATCAAAATCTAAAAATCACCCCAAAAGTCGACCCCCGAGCCCGCACCTCGGAACCCGACAAATTTCACAAAATCCGAACACCTATTCCAATACGAGTTCCACCATACAAAAATTATCAAATTTCGATACCATTTTATCCCTCAAATCATCATTTTACATAATGACGGTTTTCTTAAAAATTCACATTTTTCCTCAACCTAAAACACTAATTAAATGATAAAAATGAAGACAAAACCATGGGATATAATAAAATCTATGTGAAGAATACTTACCCAATCGATTTGCTTGAAAATCACACGAGAAATCTCCCAAAACCGAGGTCTAAAACTCAAAATATGGAGGCAAACCCTCAAATATAAACTCTCTGCCCATGTGTGACTGCACCTGCGACAAAATTAGCCGCTTCTGCACAACCGCAGGTGCGCATGATCAACCGCACTGCGCTCCCTCTTGCTTCTGCACCTAGGAATCCACTTTTGCAGTGCCGCATACGCGTACCAATTCTCCGCACCTGCTGATACTGCCAAAGATCAGCCCTTCTTGCACCTGCGTCTCTATCGCACCTGCACCCAAGGTCCGCAGGTGCTATTACACTAGAACTCAGACCTCCTCACAACCATGAAAACCATCTGAAACTCTTTCGAAACACGCCTGGGGCTCTCGGGACCCCGTCCAAGCATATCAGCAAGTTCTATAACCTAACACGGACTTGCTCGATGTCTCAAATCACATAGAACAATGCCGAAACTATGAATCGCACTATTTATCGAACTTATGAACTTTCAAATCTTCCAACTTCTAAAACTCATGTTAAAACCTATCGAATCAACCCGCAACGATGCCAAATTTTGCAGACAAGACCAAAATGACATAATGGAGTTGTTCCAACTCTCAAAATCGCATTCTGACCCCGATATCACAAAGTCAGCTGTTTGTCAAACTTCTCCATCTTCAAAACTTCAACATTTCCAACTTCTTCCGAAATGCTCAAATTACCCTACGGACCTCCAAATCCTAATCCGGACGCGCGCCTAATTCCAAAATTACCATACGAAGCTGTTAGAATCATCTGAACCTCATTCCGGACCAGGTTACATAAAAGTCAAATTTTGGTCAACTCTCACTCCTTAAGCTTCCAAAACTTGAATCATTCTTTCGATTTGACTCTGAATCATCCGGTAATTTAATTCGACCATGCACGCAAGTCATAACACACATTACGAAGCTGCTCAAGGCTGCCATTGAATAGAATTTAAAACGACCGGCTGGGTCGTTACAGATTATGTGATCGCTAATGTGATCAAGCTAGCCCAGGCCCCTCATCGCCAAAGCAAACAAAGTGTTTGCTAATGCGAACTTCTCATTTCCCAGTGAACCTTGCAAAACCGACCTCCACCTCGCAAATGCGAGGATGGAAAATGCAAATAGTATCTCGCATTTGCGAGACCTGAGGCACCAACAACACACCAGTAAAGGTTAATTAGGCTGTAACGCGTCCGAAACTCACCCGAGCCCCCGAGGCTCCACACCAAACATCCACACAAGTCTAAATACATCATACAAACTCGCTCGTGAGATAAAAATACCATGATAACATCTAGAACCATGAATCAGACACTAAAATACCTGAAAATCACAATGAACTTCAAGAACTTCTAAAAACACAACCATGTGTCTGATTCCTATCAAACCAACTCGGAATGACACCAAATTTTGCAGACAAGTCACAAATGACAAAATTGATCTATTTCATGTCACAAAGAACACAAGGTTCCCATCCTCCATTGGAATCACAAGTAAGATAAACATCCTGAAAGCTCAAAACCTTCTACTAACTTAATCCCATAGAACAAAACCATGACACGTAACACACTTACCATACTTGGAGAGCACCCAAATCACAAGTCGGGGCCAAACCATCCAAAAAGCATATCAAAACCTACTATATTAGCTAATAGAAAGTCTACCCAAGCCTCATGACTCTCAAAAGAGACCAAATCAGAACAATAGACATGGGCTATCATAATAGAATCCCCCAAATACCGTGAACATAGAAACAAAGTACAAGAATCACGATACACAATCATATATGAAGCAAGGTAGGATGAATCTGACCAATAAATGGGACCAGATCAAAATAATACTAATGTATCTCTAAAACCAACCGAAACCATACTTGTAATGACATCATGTGGTGCAGTAGCCTCAGTCCAACTAGGAAAAGCATAACAAAGGGTTGGGCCTCCCCCTCTAGGACACCCCTACCCGCCTATCCCCGCCTCTATCTTGCTTTGTAGGTATAGTAGAAACTAGAGCGGAACCCATGGCATGAGTAATCCATTGTGGTACACTCGCCTAAAGTCTGGGACAATCCATCACCATGTGTCTAATATCCCCACAGTCAAAGCAACCTCTTCACTGACGTGGTTGTGGAAGATGTCTGGAAAGGGTACTATGGGACCCATGAATATCTAAAGCACCACGTGAAACATAAACTGCAGACTGAATAGGCTGACCAACAAAACCTCTACCGTGACATGCTCTACCCTCAAAATAGAGATTCTTAGATCCTTCTGGTCCACGAGGCTTCTTAGCCTCCCTATACTCCCTTTCTAGGACGCAAATGCGCTCCATCTTCTTGATGATCTCCAACCTACTAAAATAAAGTATTGTTCTCCAACTTTCGTGCCATACTGAATCTAAGATCATAACTGAATCCCACAATAAATTTACGGACTCGCTCTTTGATTGTAGAAACCAACATAGGTGCATGACGGGACAACTCACTAAACCTGATGCATACTCTGACATCGTCATAGTGCCCGATGCAGCTACTCAAACTCTATGCTCCAAGCATCCCGAAGGGTCTGGGGAACAAACTGTCATGCCCCAAGCTCGGGGAGCGTGACCAGCGCTCAACCGAGAGAACCTAGCCGAGCAAGCCTATTAGACACTTTCTACCAAACTCACTTACGATTGAGAGATGTCATGATATCATCAATTAGGCACTAGGAGATCATACAAATACAGTACTAAGCCAATTTATTAGTTATGTCACAACTCCTTTTTACCCACCCGAGGGAGTACATAAGGGAGTTTTTCCACTTTAAGTGATATTATTCGAAATGGGATTATTTATTCAATTCAGAGTCGCCACTTGGGATAGTTTATTTGGTGTCCCAAGTCACCAGTTTATTTTTAAATCCAAGATCGAGGAAAAATCAACTTTCCTTTTGAAGTCTGCGAACTAGAATTGTAAGTAAGGAATTCTGTTAACCCGGGAGAAGGTGTTAGGCATTCCCGGGTTCCGTGGTTCTAGCACGGTCGCTTAGCAATTACTATTTGGCTTCAATTGTCTAATTACTTATTTTAGGACCTATGTGCATTTACCTTTTAACCGCTTTTAATAACTAGATTTATTCAAAAATTAAAGAATTGAGTTATGCGTACGTATACTCTTTTCTTTTGGCGCGTCAAAATCATGTCACGCGAACATGTCCATGATTAATAACGCTTTTGTTGATTTATTAAGAAATTTTGGTTGAAGTTGCGCGAATGCATCCCTCGAGTCTTTTAAGAATTTAAATTGCAATTATATTACGCGAACGTATATATAATTGCAATACTAATCTAAATAGGGCCTAAAGCAAACTACGAAAGTTCAAGACAATTTTTATACAAAATTTTTTATTTGTTTATATGAGGGCCATATATTAAAGGATTTTATTTGTATATGGCACACCCCAAATTACTTTAAGAAGAAATAGTTCTTAATCTAAATTTGTGAGGACCATGTGTGATTTTAACAAAATAATGCACGCCTCCAATTATTTTTAAAAGGTTTGCTAATTGCATACATGCTTAGGGTTGGTGTGTTTACCCTTTAATCATTTTAGATAAGGGAGTTGGGCCAGCAGTGACCCATTAAGGTTCATATCAATTGAGCCCAGATTCGTAGACTCTGGAGGTCCAGTTACTAATACCAAATTCACACAAGGTTAAAGCAATAAGCAAAAATGAATACAGCTCATGATTGTCACGTGATTGCAACAAATTAGCAATTGCCAATTGAAATTACAAGGTTCACTTTTGACTAACAATTAGATATCTACCAAACTGCTCTCATAAATCATTTGACCATTGGCAGTAGCTAAACAACCAAACGCAAATGAGATTAGTCTAAATGTTGTGCAATTTCTTAGTTTAATTACAGAATAATTTCAATTTGAACTGAAATAATCAAAGCGATATATTTTATTAGTCTACCACTGTAAGCATTTTGAATATGAATCACCAATTTTTGGAGAATAAATCATCACTCCAGATACAATGGACTAATCATGAGATTCTTTAAGCATGAAAGAACCTGTAAGCTAAACTAGTGACACGTCCATAGTAATGGGCTTGAACAATGACATTGAGTAATTTCATAAATCAGGAGATAGTTTCAATTACATCATTTAACTCAAATAAACAATCAGAGAACTAGAAAGCTTGTACAAAACAAGATTTGCAGTCGAATCTGATGATGGAATTTAACACTATCATAGCATAAAACAATTCAAGTTTCCATTTATAAGTGCAATAGAGTGCTACAAGTAAGTTTGTACATACATGAAGGCAGAAAAAAAACAGCAATTAAAATACCAAATAAGGTTAAAAGGCCAGGGAATGAAGCTTAGCAGTGACGAACTAATACAAACAATACCAGAGATAGTTGCAGCTTAATGAACCCAGCAACGACTAAAAGCTAAAGCCGACTTCCAAATCCAAACAAGATGAAAACCAAGTAGCAGAAAGGAAACAAAGCTATAAAACACCCTCTTTATCCAAAACACAACTCAACGATTGCACATAATAGCCTACGCAACTCGGACATAATTATGACATAAAAAAATAGATTTTTTTGTATAGAACAAACAGGGGAAACATAGAGGTATAAACATACCTAGCTTGCAAGAAAATAACCAAAATGACTAATCAATGATGGGGATGAAGTCCAGCAACAATAGTGAACGAATCAGCAGCAGAAACGGGGATCGACAAGCTTAAACCACATCAACACTGGAATTTCGGACCTCAAACTCAAAACCAACTTGAACTTCAAACCGATCTTCCTTTGAAAACCAGAAATGAAGAGAATGAAATAAACACTAAATAGATTCTGTTTGAACGATTTTTGTTTGAAATTTCTCTTGAATGAAGAAAACTCGACTGAAGAGATTGGACTCAAACCATTGTACTCTTTATTTTTATTTTTTTGTATGTTTTCTGGAAAAAAAAAGGAAGAAGAAAGTCTGAAGAAGTGACAACTAAAAACCCTAGAAATTTCGACTATGTTTTCTGAAGTTTTATCCGATTTTTTTCTGATTTTTTCTTCTTCTTTCCTTAGCACATAGAACTTACTTCATATATATAGCTTTCAAAAATCTTCAAAAATCTGCCCAAATCCGAAAATCCCTCATGTTTTTGAACAATTTTGGGACAAATGGAGGGCGTGGATTGATTCACATCTATCTATAGCTCCCATTCGTCCAACAATTATCCTTTTGTACAAAAATCCACAATTTTGAGGGAACAATCGTACTCCTCTCTGACAAATCTATTGGAAAATAGAGGTGACGTGGAGAGGGGGACTGTTTTGAGTAAGCTCGCTTGAAACTTAGGCGAGTTGAAGCCAAGCTCAGTGAAGAAGAAGCACAGTAGCACCGCTTCTCCGATTTCTCTTAGGGTTAGGGAATTTGGGGAAATATTATAAGGAGGGTTTTATATTAAGAAGAACGGGGCAGGTCCATTAATGGGTCAATCCGATTTCTTGGACTGGGTCGAACCGGTGGAGAAAGGGTTCTTTGGGCTGAAGGTGTTAATGTTTGGGGCTGGTTTAAGAGAAAATATTTGGATCGAATTTAGGGATGACCCAATTTCACCAAATGAACTCTTCTTCCAATTCTTCTTAATTATAATTCCCCTTTCTTTTCCCCCTTTTTAATTAAAAATCCTAAAAAATCCTAAATCATCTAAAAATGTGAAATTGAAGTAATTAACTAATTATAAAAATTATAAACATTACTTAAATCTATATTAAAAGTGAAAAATCAATAAACTAAAAATAAAAGACAAAAAATGTAAAATGAGCTATTTTTTGTGATTTTCAAATTTTATAAAACATATAATTACTGATTAATTCTAAAAGTATAAAAACAAATCCTAAATGCAATTCATGATATTTTTGGTAATTTTCATGATTTAAATAAAAATTAAACAAGCAAGAAAAATTTAAACAATTAATAAAAATCTACAAAAATTCCTAAAAATGGCAAATAATTAATAAAAAATTTATTTTCTTAGATTTTGTAGGAGTATTTCATGTATGGCAAAAATCACATGCTCACAGCTGCCCCTTTTTGCTCGGAGACATGAAGGATTTTTGGGCAAAGATAAAATGAGCAATTTACGAGAGATTTTGCCTGTTTGAAACTCCATGAGAAGCATTTTTTTAAGGAGTCTGACCGAACCTTACTTCAGAGGTTATCCTTGGCTATAAATGAATCAGGTCAGTGTAGTTCTGGAAGTTTTGGTAGCTGGGACTACCGGGAAGCTGCAATTTCACTGTTGTTGCTGCTGTTTCTGCTTGCTGAGCTCCTTATTACACTAGAAATGGAAAATAAAGAGCTAAGCTAGCTAAATCTATCAACTACGAGTTACAAGATTCCTATCTATAAATCTTTTGAAGCTTGATCTTGAGTCTTGACTGGTTCTCGCTGCAGATTCCAATCTGAATCTTGATGCTTGTCAACTGTAGGTGCTGGTTCGTTCTTTAGCTTTGGATCAAGGCTGGACATGAGAAGCTTGTGACTTCAATCATATCTTGAGCAGTCTGCTTCAACACTCTGAGTTCACTTCTTTTTTGTTCTTTTCTTCTTTTCTTTATTCTGGATTGAGACTCATTCTTTTGGTCATCTCGAATCCTGTGCCTCGAGGTCAAACCTGCTCAGACACCAAAACAAACCAACGAACGAAATTTTCTGCCCTAGTTTTCACTAGGCAAATTTTGTGACTTAATTGTAACTAAAATCTAGAGATTTTTTTTTCTTTTTTGAAAGCGATAAAATAAAGATTGTGTGTCTTTAGGAGGAAGAGATTAGGGAATGGGGCCCTATATTTAAAATCTCAACTAGGGATTGGAGCCCTATGTTGGCAAAAGGAGACTAGGGGATGGAGACCCTATGTATAAGATCCCAACTAGGGAGTGGAGCCCTAATGTTGGCAAAGAAAAGGTGACTAAAGAATGGAGGCCCTACGTCTTAAAACCTCAACTGAGGGATTGGAGCCCTAATGTTGGAATAAGGCGACTAGGGAATGGAGGCCCTATGTCTAAAATCTTAACTAGGGGATTGGAGCCCTAATGTTGGAAAAAAAAGTGACTAGGGAATGGAGTCCCTATGTCTAAAAATTCACAACTTAGGGGTTGGAGCCCTAATGTTGGCAAAAAGGCGACTAGGGAATCTCAACTCAGGGATTGGAGCCCTAATGTTGGCAAAAAGGCGACTAGGAAATAGAGGCCCTATGTCTAAATATCTCAACTCAGGGATTGGAGCCCTAATGTTAGCAAAAAGGCGACTAGGGAATTGAGGCCCTATGTCTAAAAATATCAACTCAGGGATTGGAGCCCTAATGTTGGCAAAAAGGCGATTGGTGAATGGAGGCCCTATGTCTAAGAATCTCAACTCAGGGATTGGACCCCTAATGTTGGCAAAAGGCGACTAGGGAATGGAGGCCCTATGTCTAAAAATCTCAACTCAGGGATTGGATCCATAATGTTGGCAACAGGCGATTAGGTAATGGATGCCTTATGTCTAAAATCTCAACTCAGGGATTGGAGCCCTAATGTTGGCAAAAAAGGCGACTAGGGAATGGAGACCCTATGTCTAAAAATTCTCAACATAGGGTTGGAGCCCAAATGTTGGCAACAGGCGACTAGGGAATGGAGGCCCTGTGTCTAAAAAATCTCAACTTAGGGATTGGAGCCCTAATGTTGGTAAAAGGCGACTAGGGAATGGAGGCCCTGTGTCTAAAAAATCTCAACTTAGGGATTGGAGCCCTAATGTTGGTAAAAGGCGACTAGGGAATGGAGGCCCTGTGTCTAAAAAATCTCAACTTAGGGATTGGAGCCCTAATGTTGGCAAAAGGCTACTAGGGAATGGAGGCCCTATGTCTAAAAAATTTCAACTCAGGGATTGGATCCCTAATGTTGGCAAAAGGCGTAAAAAATTGAGATTGGGAATTCTAAACTACCATTTTTGTTTGAATTTTCTTCTTATCTCTTTTTTTTTCATTTCATTTCATTTTTTCATTTTTTTAGTAAAAATACAGGAAAGAATTTGGAGGAGACTTCCTTTTTGGATTGATTATTGCTACAAAGATGTTTCTAGCACTTGCGCATTTCTTTTCCTTTTTGGTTGCACCTTCTTCTTGCACGGTTGCTTTGGATTGTACATGTTTCAATTTTTTCAAACAAAGAACAATTGTTAGTTTGAAACGGTGGTTGGTTTTGTGGCCTTGATCATTTTTGATCACTTGATCTCGGCCCAACTCTTTTGGTGAGAACCTCTACTACTTGCTGGCTTTTATGAAGATTGATCTCTCTCCTAAAATCGAGGAACTCAACTTTCCAAACTTTTCGGATGATGATTCAACCGTGTGGGGCTTTGGCCTTTTCACCTTATTCTTCCTCTAGGGCTTTTGACTTTGGATTTCTTTTTATTTTCAATAACTCTGATTTCAGAGCATTGGCCATCATAGCCAATCGGGATCGACTTGATGCATCCGCTGAGGCTGGGTACTTTTCTTTGGACTTGGCTTTAATTAAGTAGAACTCTGTAATTCCAATCTTGCCACATTTTCTTTGTATTAGTTTCGGAATAGAATTAGAAAACAGGGATTCAAAGAAAGGTAAACAAAAGACAAGAAAGTGAATTTAAGGAGAAGTGTCCCTTTCGGGGAGGAAAGAAGGACTTATCTGGGGTGCATGCAGACTTCAATAGACATGACATGTTTCTTGGACTGGATACCTGATCTGCACAACTATCCAACTTCTCATAAACCCATTGCGACCCGTGTTCTAAAATCGAGAAACCTTGCCAAGACTCTTTTAATACCAATGGTGGTGAGGGGTTTCTTTTTTTCGATCAACGGCGCCCTTTGCGTGTTTTCACCAATCGACCTCTCTCATTTCTCTTCTTACCATCGCATTATAGTGCTCTTTTACGAGTTTTCACTAACAAGACTCTCTTATTTTCAATTTCTCTGCTCACCATTTCCTTACGGTGCCCATAGGTTTTCACCAATAAGAGTCTCTCATTTTACTTCTCTCATCTTGATTGCATCGAACCCAAACAACTGTGTTCTCTGATTTTGAACACCTTTTGTCTATTGGTCGGAAGGACTTGAACAAGGTTTGGGTAAAAAGAATTGGATTGAATTAAAACTTTGTAGTCGTTCGGGCGGGATCATCACCGAACCATTATAACATCTGCCCCAGTTTCATTTTTGGGGGAAATTGGTGACTGAACTCCAGAGAGAGGCTGCCTACGTATCCTTTCGTATTCAAGTCGAACGTAGTTCAGGAAAACATTTTGTTTGTTTTTTTTGTTTTTTTTTTTGTTTTTTTTATCAAACATCTTCGAGTTCCAAAGAGGGTAATGAAAGAATCATAACTGGCTCGAAGGGTTAGTAAAGGATTGGAGTGTTTGGGGTAGAGAGAATGAAAGCCTTCGTCATCCCAATCGGATAATACCATGGCTGCAGAAAAACTAAACATAGTACCTTTTGACCGCGTCTGCGTTCACATCTACTTCGGGATCATTTCCTTCAATATCTCCAAGGTACAATGCCCCTCTTGGCAATATCTTTCTGATGATGTATGGTCCTTTCCAGTTAGGAGAAAATTTTCCTTTTGCTTCCTAATGATGGGGAAGAATACGCCTTAAAACTAGTTGCCCCACTTCAAAATTTCTAGGCCACACTTTCTTGTTGTAGGCACGGGCCATTCTTTGTTGGTACAACTGCTCGTGGCAGTCTGGGGCCATTCGCTTTTCATCGATCAGGATTAACTATTCCGGGCGGGTTTTGACCCACTCACTGTCTTCAATTTCAGCTTTAACAATGATCCGGAGAGAAGGGATTTCAACTTCTGCGGGTATTACGGCTTCAGTTCCATAAACCAAAAGGTACGAGGTTTCTCTGACCGATGTGCGCACTGTAGTGTGATACCCCAATAATGCAAAAGGCAATTTTTCATGCCCCTGCCTGGAACTTTGAATCATCTTTCTCAAAAAAAATTTGATGTTCTTGTTTGCTGCTTCGACTGCACCATTGGATTTAGGACGATAGGGAGTAGAGTTCCAATGAGTTATCTTGAATTGTTCACATATATCCCCCATCAAATGACTATTCAAATTTGAGGCATTATCCATAATGATAGTTACAGGAATACTAAAACGGCAGATAAGGTTGGAATGCACGAAGTCTACCACAGCTTTCTTGGTGACAGAATTGAGATTAATTGCTTCAACCCACTTTGTGAAGTAGTCAATAGCGACCAATATGAATCTATGTCCATTTGAAGCTTTCGGCTCAATCAGGCCAATGACGTACATGCCCCAAGAAACAAATGGCCAAGGTGCTGACATAAGATGCAGTTCTGTAGGCGACGCATGAATCAAATCA